AAAAAAAAAAAAAAAAATCATAGTGCATCCTGTTGTTTGTCTGAGATTGCATATTTTATTGCATGGATAATGATATGCCTCAAATGCCTTATGTAGCCCAGTAACTGCATAGGTAAATCAAGAGTGACATATAAGGCTGGGTGCAGTGGCTCATGTCTGTAATCCCAGCACTCTGGGAAGCCTAAGCAGGTGGATCAAGCAGCTCACAGTTCAAGACCAGCCTGAGCTAGATCGAGATCCTGTCTCTAGAAATAGCCGGGTGTTGTGGCAGGAGCCTGTATTCCCAGTTACTTGGGAGACTGAGGTAAGAGAATTGCTTAAACCCAAAAGTTTGAGGTTGCTGTGAACTCTGTTGGCCCAGCACTCTACTGGGGGCAACAAAGTGAGACTCTGTCTGAAAAAAATAGAAAAAAGGGATCAGCGCCCATAACATAGTGGTTACAGTGCCAGCCACATGCACTGACGGTGGTGGGTTTGAACCTGCTCCAGGCCAGCTAAACAACAATGACAATGCAATAAAAAAAAATAGCTGGACATTGTGGTGGGCTCCTGTAGGCCCAGCTACTTCTGAAGCTGAGGCAAGAGAATTGCTTAAGCCCAAGAATTTGAGGTTACTGTGAGCTGTGATGCCACAGCACTCTGCTAAGGGTGACAGACAGATACAAAAAAAGAAAGAAAGAAAGAAAAATTAAAAAGAGTGATATTAATAGCTACCTGATGCCAGCAAATTCCACCTTCTGGGTAATATAAGCACATGTGCTAACCTAAGGGGAGAGAGAAAGAGATTTAACATATTAAGACTATAAAAAGTCACAAATGAGGTCTCCTGCCTTTTTAATTTCTTCTAACAACACAAAATTCAATTCACCTGAGAGTAACAGATTTACCCCCATGGGAAAACGGGCTGAGGTAGGTATAACTATAGGTGCTTAAAGAGTCTGACAAATACAGACAGATGTAAAGACCAGGTAGATAACAAACGGTGAGCTTCACAGACACACTAGGACCTCTGACCACCCCAGGGACTGTAACAAACCGCTCAACATACGGAGGCGGTCATCACAGATCTGTGCCTATTAGATTGATACATACATGAAAGCATTTATTTTCTCTGAGAGGTTAATGATGTTATATTTTAGGAAAACAGTATTTCATGAAGATGAGGAGTAGGAGCTTTGGATGGATGAATACCTGAGTCTGAATCCCAGGACCCACTTACTAATTTGTAGCAGAACTTCTGTAAGTTGACCAACCAAGGGACTCTTAACAAACTAATCAACATAGGGAGGTGGTCAACATAAGGAACTAGGCCTATCTTATTGATACGTACATGTGGTGCATGTCTGGTTGATGAAAATTAGGTCAGCTTAATGAGGTAGTTAATGTAGGGGGTGGTCAACTAAAGAGGTTCTACTGCACTTATACTCACATATGTTTACAGCTATATTTACATGCTCATTTAAATATAGTAGTTCTTCATTTTATCACTCATTTTCGAAAACAGAACCCTCACTCACCAAATATAATGAAAAATAAGCCAAAATGTTTTCCTGAAAATGTATACTATATGGCATTTTGATCTAGAATGTGTTGTTTTATAATATGCAAACACTCCAATAAGAAGTATTTTCGGCTCGGCGCCTGTGGCTCAACTGGCTAAGGCGCCAGCCATGTACACCTAAGGTGGCGGGTTCGAATCCCCAGCCCGGACCCGCCAAACAACAATGACGGCTGCAACCAAAA